GGTCCCGATTCGTCTGTGTCCCGAAGCAAAGCCAACCCTGGTATCGGAGATCATGCCTCTGCCTGTGTTCGAAGAGCTTTCTTTATCCGAAATTGGATGTGTGCAAGGCGGTACTTACCGTACGTACGTCACGTCCATACGAGTTCACATTTATAATATGCCAGTAATCGCAATCGTCAAAATCTGAGGATAACCCAAGGGAGGTGTTGGGTTCTTGAGGGAGTTGGAAGCTAGAACTTTCGCGAGACAACCACACCGATGGGTAGCTAGAAGCGAATGAATGACACGGCCAAAGATGGCCGCCTTTTATTGAACAGTCTACGGAACGACGAAGCCGGTACCCAACAGGAAGTGCGAATGGGTAGTCAAGTTCCGTGGACATCGCTCAAGTCATGGGAAGAACGCTCCGTTCTATTTATCTTGCTTTTCGCGTCGAGGACCCAAATCTCAGACTCTACCTCTGAAAAGCGCTCACAAAACCCGCTCAAAAACCTTCACTTACCAGGCTTGGCCACCGCCGTCCGAGAACAGAGCATCCGACCGAGACACTCGTTTTGAGCCTTGAAGCAACAATTCACAACGGCGCGGCGCTCTTAATTGCGGCAGAATCTACGGCTGAGAGCTTTCATTCAACTTCTTTGTGCGAACCGGAGGACGGAGGGCAGCATCCGATTCCCCCTGCTTGAGTGAATCGTCCTACCGCGTGCTCTGTTGCACGATCCTCAGAGCTCCCTCCGAAAGCCCGATTCTGGGGCCGATCTCGGATCGAGATGTCAACAATGGGATTCCGGCGTCCTCCCCCTTCCTCCACCGCAAAATTCTGCCGACGCTCTGCCACTGCCCGAGACGAATTATACTCCGCGTCGACTTCGGTAAACGGGACGTCGAAGCGGATTCAGTCTTCGCACAGGAACGCTCAGACGTGTAGACCTTCGAGTCTCGGCATTGATCAATACCGTCCTGCTCGGGGTGCCATCCATAGCGCCACCGAGGTCGCTGTGCACGGTGGATTCAAGAGATGATCTCAACTACCCATCATGAGAGCGCATACGTTCCTCACGGAATATCTGCTCGGCGCGCTAAGGAGTCGACCATCCCGCCACGCCAAAATCTCAGCGAGTGATGGGGATTTCGATTCGCAGTAAAGCCTGTCTAATCAGACCACGCGCGGTCACGTTGGAATTCGGTCTGATACCTCGGGCGATCGGTTCGCGGGGACAACGGTCCGAGAACTCATGTGGTCCCTTTGTACGGTGGTCCCATGACTTAGGTTCCACTGTACTAGTCCGTGGGGCACGAGCCTCACAGGGAGCTACAATGCCTCAGACAATGAGACGTTGTAACATTGGATCAGAAGGGTCATCGTGGCGTCATCCCGACTGATCTCTCTCAAGCCTGCGTTATTGTATCTTTCCTGAGAAGCAACTCCTAGGAATCGAGACCTTCCCACACTTGCTTCTCGGTTTCGGATCGATTAGCCATCCATCTCTCCGGGCTAACCCGATGTGGCTAGGATTTCCTGTATGTGGAGAATATCTCGACTTGATCTGTTTCGGACTTGCTGCTACGCGTTGTAGGGCGGGCTGGGCTGCTAGCTGCTTGATTCCCTTCGTAGTGCATCCGAGATCAATATTCGAGACGGTTCTGGAGAGCGGAGTTCTGTTTGCGGTGGAATGACGACGAGGACTTTCCATTCATTGTATGAAGAGGAGAGGCCAAAAAAATAAAAATTCATATCAACGACATTGGAATGAATCCTTAATAATTCGTAGGGATGAGTATGAGTCAGTATAACATTGACCCAGCTGATCCCCACAAGGTCAGGCCCAGATGGTTGCGAACCGCTAACGGCTGCACCATTCCCTCGCTGGACCGCGATCGAGACCCTCTGCAGCAAGAATTCCCTTTATCCTCTGTCCCCGAAATGTTTCCCATTCTCTCCCCACTTTACTGAGGGCATGTCTCGATTCAAGCTAGTCGATTTTGTCACTGTCGACAGGTTCGGAAATCGTTCTCTCGGGAAACAAACTGACTATTCCGCAAATTTCCATCTGCCAGCTTGAAGATATCGGAGCGGGGGACTTTTTTCCTGAAATAACACGTCCTCACGATCGTTTTGCCGTGAACAAAATTTCGCTGGCCCTCTCGGTTCGGATTTTACGAGCAAAACCAAATGGGTAATTATTTATGTGGCTCCACCCTGTACATGGAGGAGATATGGAAATACCATATGCGATCATACGATGGATTCCTGTTTCTTGGGGGACGATACCGAGCGACAGCCTGTTTCACGGAAACTTATGACGACGAGACGCGAGATGAGAGAAGAATTATTCAACTCTCCCTCGAACACGGTCGGAGGGGCGTCCATGCTCAGCTACACTTTGTCCATGAGGGCTCTGACGCGAAGATATCGGAGAGTCATTCAAGTAATGATCCGTACCGTCAAACACCGGAAGAAACAGTTCTGCTCGCCTGAAGGACATTTTCGGGTGGAGGAAGAGCTTTTCGGAGATTCTCACACCGAGGGTACAAGCTGATTCGGAACAGTAACCGTCTCGAGAGACGGATTCTCCCTATGTGATCCACTCAGAATCCAGGTCATTCCGAGTCGGAAGGACATCGCGACAATCTGCGTAAGGGACGCGCGACCCCAGTTAGGGAATTCCAAACCCAATGATTCCGGTATGTCTTCGGGATTTGAACTTCAGTTCGAAACAGTCAAGAACTCATCCAATGTACCGGCTTTGGCTGGAGAGGAATGATCTGTTTGGGAGGATATCTCCGATCGAGTCAAGCACCCACTCGATCGAGTCCCACCGGAGATCTTCCTCTCACGATTTACTAGGCTCGCTGGGCATTTGACCGACTCTCCGACCCAACAGGAGCCCCTGCGAATTCCGTCTCTCGAACGCAGAATGACGAATCTGACGATGAGTATATTACGCTATTCTGATAGTTCGCATTGGATATGATGTATTGAATTCAGGCGCCAGCCGGGAGCCGATTCGGCCATTCTGCCCGTTTCCCCGATTCCCCGTTCCTTCCTCCACTTCTCCGGTGAGCCCCTCTCTTTCCGTTGTCTCTCACTCTGACTTTCTGGACGTTTCTCCAACATCTATCCGTGTTTCGAATATAATGTATTGATAAGTAATCACAATGCTTTATTTTAAAAGAGAGAGAGATGCGTACATGGCGGTGGTTACGATCACAGGATGCGGGTTCGCGTCACTCTCTATTCAGACATATGGTTCATTGTGCAGTAACGTGCAGTAGATCTCGGGCGATAAACACAATTCTTTTGTACACTGTAGTACTGTAATACTGTACACAGAAGTTTTGTGAAGAATTATATCCCCTGGAATTTGGTACAACGGAGTGCAGCACTTTCAGATATTTTTATTTGTAAATTTTCTTCGGGACTGGCAACTTCGTCGGTTAGGCTTATCGCACCGAGAACACGTCGATCGCGGTAGGCGAACAGAGAGCCACTACTTTTATTTTGATTTAGGAGATCTGTCTCTCTCCAGCGCCTTTCCATCGGACGCGACGGAGGAGGCGCGGAGAGCGCGCGTCTATACAAGCGATTACAACTGACTCGAAGTCGGATCACAAGATTATTGGGCGTAAACGTCGTGGGTTTGGGTTTTAGAATATTTGACATGGGATATTTGACATTATTCAATTATTTGAACAAATCTGGTTCCCGGAAACCGATACGGCTATTCTGTCCATTTCCCCGAGTCCTCGTTTCCTTCCTCAAATGTCCCCGGATACGCTTTGCTATCCGTCGTTTCCTTCTCTGACTCGCTCCACATTTCTCCAACTCCTATTCGTGTTCCGAGCATCCTAGTCCCCCCTTGTTACCGTTCTCGAGTATTTTGCACATCTGTCGCTCTGCTCTGTTCCGCGATCTAGCAATGCCCCCGGTCCTACTGGCTCACTGCGATGTTCCCGATCCGGAACGAAGCTCCACGAGCCTCGGAGGTGCATCGAAAATATGTCTGCCCTCATACCAATACTAATCCAATCCGCGCAACCGCAGTCCGATGGAGCATTCGAAAATCCCAATCCTCCTGGGTCTTTTCTGAGCAGGGCTAAGATTACACAATCACCACCCGCGGGAATTAGTTGCGTGAGCATTACGCTCAGACTGCAGGAACAGATTTCATTCTCGCCGTGATCTTGCGGGAGCTCTTATTCCATGGGATAATTGAAGGAAATATTATGCGATAGAACACTCATCGAAGATACCTGGGTCCGATTCTAAGGCAAAGAGGCCAAGACGTATGTGGGTGTCTCCACGTGAAAGACTTGTATTCAGAGTGACAAGCAACGCAATTGATTTGAGCGAGTAGAACTTGGGAACGAAACCAACGCTAACCTTGATCGAATCGCAGCAGATATCAATGGGTCGCCCGAACGAGATCCGGAAGTACTCAAGGATCGTCAGCATCATCCATCATGATTCCCCCCCGTTCTTTTGGAACGGAGGTCTCCATGGAATGGCATACGTTCTTTTGGAACGGGATCATATACGTTCTTTCCCTCCGTACTCCTGTTGCCCATCATCGGCATCGAATATCGAGCTCGATCCAGGAAAGGCGATTTTCGTTATCACCCGGAATCGAATAATTACTCGTCTCCAGAATATCGCGCTCGATAAGATTTTCCGTCAGACAACGAAGCATAGAAACGAAAGGGAAGAAAGAGGGATGGGCCTGACTATTGAACCCTTATAAAATTTGATAGGCCCATATCCTTCCCTGGCATGTCCTAGCGTCAGTACAGAAAAATCAGCGCATTCCCTCGAAATATGACCGGTAGCGCTGGCGAGGCGCCGGGAAGCTTCTGACTCCTCGCTTGCTGCAACCTGCAACGCTCTCTTGCAACAAGCAGTCCGAGGGGCGGGGTGTGCCTCCTGGACTGAGAATCGAGCGCTGTCGAAAGCTGGGTGTATCATTGCTGGGTATTTTAAATGAGAACACTAAATTCTTCGATGGAGATGCTGTCGTTAGCACAGCCGAGCCTGGAATGACTCATTTTTATTCGTCTCAAGAAAAGGGGCTATCGACCTGCTAGCTAACGCTTCCATTTCTCGTCGTCGAACTCAGGCGTCATCAGACACCGGCGTCGGCGTCGTATGCGCGCTGCTGAATCTATGTGGTTCCACAACAATCATATTCGATGAGCTTTGACTGCAAGGTCTCCCACGAGACTAATTTTCGGAAATGAGGCATGTCTGTTTGGCGAATGCCTCATCAATGTCATCACCACTGTCTGCCGAGGATGGTTCAGGAGTTCAGGAGGTGAGGCAACAACATCGTCCAAGTCGCTGTCAAGGACGGATATGGCTACCTCCGGGAGCGGTTCGTCGGCAGAGAGGGTCGACGGCGAATTTTCGGAGCGAGCGTCATCGTCACAAGAACCGTCTAACTGATTGTGAAGGTTTTCGAGACTCTCGGTGGTTCTTTCTCCCGATTCTGAACTTGACACGGTCGAGGAACTCGATGTCTGTGAGTTCTCCAGCGGATGAAATCGCCCGAGACCTGACGATCTTGAGTTTGTTCTCTCTGGTCGATCCAATGGGTTTCGAAAGAATATTCTCGATGCCTCTATTAGGCTGTAGCTTGTTTACCGCTACATCTTGCGCGGAATCAGCTATAATGGCCACGAGCGACCAGATCGGGCCGTGAGGCCCAGCACGTCCCAAGAACATGCCATTGTTTGCTCCTACATGATCATTCGTCCTCTGGTGACGTTTTCCAAGTGCAGGATCTACTATTCGTAGTTGTGGTTTTTCCTCAAGCTTTGTTACAATATTGGCGTGACATCGCTCTCCTGCTCAGTTCCATAATTACCGCCTTCACGCCGGGAGTGCAGAGAGTTTATTAAAATACCTCTAATGATCATACATTCTTCAGGGTTTACGAAGAGTTCGCACAGTCTGAGGGAATTTCCTGGAGTACCTACATTTATAGCGTCGAGCTCATGATCATTGAGGATCTCCCTTCCTGTATCCCTGCACCGCTATGCAGTATTCCGCTGAACTTGGCTCCAATTATCGAATCTTCACTCAAGGCATCGGAGCCGACGGTCCAGTCGTTCTCGGAAACCGTATCCGGTATAGGGCTTGAACGGCACGCCGCGTTCCTGCTTTTCGATCTCTGAATGGAGGAGGGTTTTCAGTAATCTCGACAAAGTTAATTCTCCAGCTTCAGCGACCGAGCTTCCATGTGAATGCATATAGCTGGGACAAGCCAGACTCGATACTGGCTCCAAAGGCGGCTGAGCTCAGAGTCGGAACTTCAAATACAAATTCATCTGTCATCCCGTGAGCTCAATCCACTATGCGGATTACGGAATGGTTATGTGAACGGCCTCTACGGACCGCTGGCCTCGACCAAGAAATCCCGAACCATCGCTCCCCTAGAATTCTTACCTCTCAACCTTAGTTTGTACTCCTTCCCGAACACTAGATGCCACCAGAATTCTATTTGGTAGCCCGGTTCCACGGAGAATTCTGAAAACGCGCGCAAAAGTATCACGAAGCAGCTCGGGTCAGATGAGGAATGAGAGAGCATGAAAGGTGCTCCTAATATCTCTGAATCCGCGGAATAAATTAAGCGCGAATATCAATCAGGAACTTTCGAAGGATCTCGAAAACTGAGCGCGAAAACTCACCGAGAAGCTCGATTTCAGTCTCGAGGAATGCTTGAAGCTCCGAAGCGTTGGAAATCGTACCCGAAAAGTAGAATTTCGGTCCGGGAACTGAAAGGAGCTGAACGAAGTGAGAGCGCGGCGAAGGCTGAGCAAACTTGCCTCTGACGAAGCCCTCCGACTTAGATACTTGGGACTTGGGACGATATCTTCGTTCCATAGCAACGCCAATGTTCCTCGTATGGAAGGACTTGGAAATCTTGATCGAGAGAGACTCACAGCGGTTCTTCTCGCGAGAATCCCTCGGTACTAGGGAACAGGCTACTTCCAATTCCACAGGGAATTTGTCAGGTCGAGGACCTGGAAGAATGAAAACTCGATATATCGCGCATTCCCTGAGAACAACCACCCTCAGTGAGCTCCTAATGTTCTCACGTTCTATGTGCTGAGTCACTCCAATCCGAACTGCCTTTTTGACGTAATCCAGGTGATGAAAAGTTGCTGTGAACCACTCCCCCAGGGCTGTCATGATCAGAAAATGGAGTCAGAAGGCCGAGGCCTCCTTATGGCGACGGCGCTGGAAAACAATAAGCTTGCCTATTCGAATGGAGTGGATTGAGGTGACTTTCAGGGCTCTAGCGGACATAAGGGGAGGGCCAGGGGTCGTGGCCCCCTCAAAAAAAAAAATTTGCCGCAACACCGAAGTATAGGCTCCGATACTCCATTTAGGGCTCGTGCCCCCCATGATTTAGCGACGGATATGGGCTCAGGGGACACGCGTTGAGCGAGCTGATCTATGTCAAATGATCTCGGTAATTATCCGGCGACGTCCTCATTTGCGCAGATGCAATTCAGCCGCGGAGCGCTTACTCACCCGATACTAGATGGCGGCGGATGGGCGGCAGAATGGCTATGTATGCATGGATTGACACTCGGTAGCTTATCAGAGCGAGGTTCTTCGAGACACCGCCTCGAATCGATCCGCTCCCAAGTGGACTCAGTATCGGATAATTGGCGACAGATTCAAGTACACTGATCTGATCGAAGCAAGGAACGTTCCCAAAGAGGCCCAAAACAAACTGCTTCGCTCGAGAGATCGCGTTTACAAGAAAGTCTCACCGCTTCGGCTGATCGAATTTCAGAAAAGCGTGCTTCCCTAGCGAAATTCACACATATGCTATCTCCACTAAACGTGCTAAATTACTGAACGTTGAAAGCTGAAAGCCCAGCGGCGGCTCCATGTTTGGTCGCTTGATCGGCGGTTCATGCGCTGACACAAGCCGATTCAACCCGCCGCTCTTGGCCGCCAGTGGAGGCGCACAAATTCGAATTCTAGAGCAAGGAGTCGACATCCATCTATCGGAGGGGTCACGGATATGGGCTCGCATAGTCAGTCGAAATCTGTTTGAAATGATTACCGAGGTCATTTCAATCAGCTCAGAGACCGCAATTTGGGAAACACTGCCGAAGCAATTGACAGTACTGCTTGGAGTCGGGGCCTTTGATTCTCAAGCCCTTCGAAGAGTTGCGTTATTGAGAGAAACAGATCATTTCTTTGATGTATCCCGTAACTTGTTGAGATCGGAACTCACATTACGCACGAAATCCTAAGCCAGAACTGAAGCGATGAGGATTCCCTCTGCATGGCGTATATGCGCCAAGATCAACAGAGGGGTCCTAAATAGTGAGATCTTCCGGCACCCCCCCCTCCTGCCACCTTGTAATATGTGACACCCTACGATGCTGTGATAGACTACGTCTATCATTTAAATACCTTTGAATAAAAGAGATATTGACTTTCATACTTCCTCCAGAACCAGAGAGAGCATTCAGGAGGAATATAAATGGGTTCAGCGAGATCGGATAGCGGCTTTGCTGCGACTTCCTTTCTGTCAGCATTCGGCAAATCCATGAGAACTTTGACCCGGTCACCAATATAGAGAAGCTATGTCGGATAACTCGCCTGATGCTGATGCTCATTAGAACGTGTTCTTCCGAGCGAAATGCAGCGTTTGCGCGTTCGTCGAAACGTTATGTCTTCCTCGGTCAGCGCCTCGCCTCCCGAAACAACGATTAGTGTTTGCTGCGATTGTATCGGAGGTTCACCAACCCTTCGCCTTTACCTCGTTGATTGTTCCCGGCCCCCTTCAGGGAAGCCCATCGAAAGCTTGGGCTGTCGTGCGCCGGTATGCTCGATAGGGCGATTCAATCCGCAAGATGAATCACCGAAAATCTTTGTCGTCGCCAGGGCCGGTCGTAGGTAGACTCGCCACCACAAAGCCCTGTCGGCGACAGAGGTTTTTCTTCTGGCGGTTCGATGTCGGATTATCCCCGTTCGCGAATGGGTGCTAGTGCGAGGCAAAGGATCCCAAGTACACTTGAACGCCTATGGTCATTCCCCACATGGATGTCGCTCAAGATTTTCGTAGCCCCGCCGGTGCCAGGCAAAGTCCCTCCCCTCGGTGAACAGCAGAGGGACGACTGCGCTACCTCGCCTCGTCTGGAGGGCATACTCCCAAAGGAGGTACCCTGGCCCTTGAGAGGCGAAAAATTGGAGACGATGAGCGGAGTCTTCGGCATGGGAAGCCTGGAAACCATCGAGATAGTTTCCTACTCCGTGAACCGTGGAGCCTCGAAAGGAGTCCATCGACTGTCTTCCGATTTTCCTTTCTATTGTTCGCTCTGGAATACTCACTCGTCCTCAAAGTTCCGTTTTCCATAGGTTCGTTCGGTCAGTGTATGTCCGCCGGTATACCAGTCTGGAATACTTCTCGTCTTCCACCCTGACCTTTGATTGCCTCGATTTTAGAGAGCTTGTCTTCCTTGGAGCAAGTCATGCTCCAGGATGGCAGCTTCTCCATCCTCGGTCATCTACTTTGAAAACTTCCAACCAAACTCTCACGGTACCACTGGCAAACCTTGGCAGATTGGAGAGGAGTCACACACGGGATCTTGTTTCAGGCTCTTCACGTTTCAAGTTTCGTCTGTTATTCTGATTTTGAAGACCTTTTTCGAACGAAAAACTCTCCATCAAGAATGGTTCGCTGTTGCCCTCTGGGCTTGGGACATCGTCGACTATTGTGCTATTTGCAGAAATCACATCATGGACCTCTGCATCGAGTGTCAAGCTGATCAGGTGTGACGGAGTTCCCGCTCCTAAGATCACGAGTAGAGTAATTGGGGGAGCCGCGCAGCCGCTCACCTCCATGACATTGTATTTCAGGCATCTGCAACGACTGATGAATGTACAGTCGCTTGGGGCGTTTGTAATAATGCTCTCCATTTCCACTGCATTCGAAGGTAGACACGGCGTGCCAAGAAGCGAGAGACAAGATGACGATCGCAGACGAGAAATTCATATCAGAGCTCCTCGCCGGAGCATGCCGTACCTCGGCTCAACGACTCTCGAGCCACCTCAGGAAGAGAAAAAACTGTGTACTGGTGGACTAAGGACATAGGAGGAGCAAGGAAGCGAAGTCTTCACGCAAGGAGGTTCGTCCGCGCAAGGAGACGAGCCCAACAGAACCCAGTCGGAGTCGAAACTCTGAGAGCAGCTTATGAGGCTGCGCGAGACAGTTATCAGAGCGAAATTATCAGAAGCAAACGACAGAAATGGGAAGAGCTATACGACTCGGTGGAGGATGACATATGGGGTCTCCTATACAAGATCATCCGAGAGAAAATCGGCAAGAGAGGTCTCAAAATCCCGAGGGAACGAATCGACAATGTGATCGCGGAGCTCTTTCCGAAAGGGACAGCCTTCGAGCGACCCGAGTTCCTCGTAGATCCGTCAGAAATCCCGAAAACAACGATACAAGAAGTCAAAGCCGCCGCCGAAAAGCTTACGGCTGGGAAGGCAACCGGCGCAGACGGAGTCCCATTAGAGGCGGTCAAGCTTCCCATGAAGAGATGGCCAGAAACCTTCGCGGAGATGGTAGACCAAATCTTGCCAAGGGGAGTCTTCCTGGCGGAAGATGGATAACGACCCAGTTAACGCTCATTCCGAAAGCAGGAAAGAAGGATGCCCACAGACCGATATGTCTGCTAGACACGACTGCGAAAGCCGTCGAAACAATCCTGAGCTGCAGAATCCAGGAGGAACTAAATGTCAAGAGAGGCCTCTCGGACAGCCAACACGGCTTCCGGCCGGAAAGATCCACTATCTCAGCCTCAGAAAACGTGTACGACACCGTCGACGCGGAACTACAAAAACCACCGTGGAGGAGAGCAAGAACGCTCATAGTGCTCCTCGACGTGAAGAACGCTTTCTACTCCGAAGAGTGGGAAATAATCATGAAGAGCCTCCGAGTGACTCCAATCTGAGGATGGTGAATGCCTTCACGGGAGCGATCTTCGATTTCGAGAGTACGAACAAGATTGAGGGCGGGGCTGTACCATGTTGCTCTCGGATGCACGCAACGATTCCGTACGCCTGCAAGCTCGCATCGGAGAACATGAAAGGTTCCTTCCTAGATGGGGTGCCCTGTGGGGAAAGCATGTGTCGGGGAATGGCAATACCCTCAGCCTGGCTTAGTAGCTTTGAGAAATTCCCGTACTGTTCGAGGATATTCCCTTTCAAGGCCTCGTCCCAACCGATTTTCTTTTTCCATAGCTCTTGGAATAGTGATTTCGCGGAGACGACGATTGGGTTAATGATACCCAGTGGATCGATGATTTGAGCTGTCGCTCTGAGGAGCTTTCTCCTTGATGGAACCCTTGTGGTGAGTTCTCTGAGGGCTTTCGATGTTGGGGTGCCAAATTCATCCTGAACTTGATTCCATGGAACGCCCAGGATTTTGTGGTTGGCCTGGCCGATCGAGATGGTCAGGTCCTTGACCGGCGATATGTGTCTGATAAATTCTCCGATCTCGGTGAAGTTCGCTGACCACTTATCCAACGGGAAGTGCCCATCGGTGAAGATGTCTACGAGGACTTGTATTCGGTGCCTCGCTTCATCGAAGGAATCCGCACCTCCGATGACGTCATCCATGTAAAAATTGTCTCGAATTTCCTCGATGAACTGACGGTCCTCTGGGTGATGAGCGAGTGATGATTCTACGTGGAATCTGATTCCCTGGCAACGAAGGAATGGTGAGCAAATTGGACCGAAGTCCAACCTGGTCGCCCAGAACTCCCGAATTTCGGCTGATTTATCCTCGCTGATATTCAACGGCCAGAGAAACCTCAGAAAGGTTTCGTCGTTGTCCGCAATCCTGAGTTGCAGGAAGGCTTTCTCAATATCTGCGGTGAATGCGAATCGGTACTGACGGAATTTCAGGATGACTTTCGTGATTTCTGGAAGGAGGTTCGGGCCGCAGTGGAGGACATCATTGAGTCCTGCCTGGTTTGAGCGCCTGGCGCTAGCGTCCTTCACCACTCGAGTCTTCAGACCCAATGGGGCGTCGGATTTCGCTTTGAAAACAGCTTGAATCGGGAGATAATGCGCTAAGGAGTATTCTTTCCGCGGTCGAGCTTCTGCGGCGAAGCCGGCCGCGAGGTAACCCTTGATCTCTCCGTCCACAGCCTCCAATCTGATTGGGTCTCGCTTCAACTTCTCGAGAAAGGAATGTAAACGAAATCTTGCCAAGTTCTCGTTGTCCCCGAGGGCGTTCAGGTTTGATTTGAAGGGCAGTTTCAGTACATAACGTCCGTCTTTGTCGCGACGGGTGGACTCTTTGAAGTGTCCGACTAGCTCTTGGGTGAGTGGATCTTCTTCTTCCTGTTGTTCGTCCTCGAGGTTTACCTCGAATCCGACGTCCTCCGACTGCCACATGAAGTGAAGATCTCGCAGTGTTTGAGCTGCTTGCTTGTTCCTGTCGAGTTTTCCTCCGGAATGAGTCTCTGAGACGATGAGCTGCTCCTCTGTGGATGGAGAAATCGGCGCCGGTTGGATCACATCGAAACCGCAGAACCGAGACAGGGGTGACGCAATTTTGGTGGCTTTCTGAGAGCCACCGAACACCCATCCGAATATTGAATCGAATGCGAATACGTCTTCGATCGACCGTGGGTTCCTGAAACCGATTTTCGAGAAATGATCTTGTCCCAGGAGGATGTCTACGAATTTCTTGCCCTCTTCTGGGATGTGGTCCGCCACTGGGCTGAGTTCGAAGTCCTGATCCATCAGAGGGAACTCTGATCTCGACACGCAGTCCAGTTCGAGGGCTCTGAGCCGAATACTCTTGTTCGGGTGATGTCTGCTCCTTAAGATTATGTTGTGGACTCCGCAGTTTCGAATGTCGGCGGT